TTTTTTTCATTTCGATCGGACAGTAATCATTGTTAGAAATGTAACGAACTAATCCGAGCGCAGACTTTCGTTTGGCCTAGATTAATATTGGGCTTTATTGTACTTCCACGAAGAGGATCACAGTTCTGTGACAATAGAAGTGATGTTCGTACGTGACTGTTGCAGTTTTTAAATATTGTGTAACAGGTTAATATGTAATATTATGTTGCTATGTAACAAAGCTGTAATAAAGGTTATCTGTAACAGTCAGTTTATTTTGTACATTCGCCCACGATCAGCAAAGCTCTAGACTGAACGTTTTCTATAATATTAGAGCATTTTTGAGTCCTTGCATTCTATTCACCACTCTTCGATCTCACGCATGATCTTGAACAACTGGCCAATGGATCAACTCGGTCTCCATCCTGAAATTTCTTAACTCTAGCAAGAGAGATAGATAGGTAATGAATGAACACTACAAAGTGACGTATGTATGCTCAATGAAATGCTTGAATTTGAATGAAGTGAACTCACTTCAAAGAAGCTGATGAAATCTTCGAGCTCGATTAAGCCATCGTTATTTCTGTCAAGAATCTAGAAAAGTATCGATTTATGACTGATTCATTCCTACGTTACTCAAAAGAATAAACAGACAATTCGTGGGTTTGCACTCTCGTCGCCCGTCGATTGCAGTAATGCAATGTGATCTTAACTGTGAGGTGTTCAGTTAGCAATTGAGTGACGAACCCAGAAGGCACTCTGTGCTTTTTGTTCGATACGGGCATTCAAATTGCGTGCGTGAGCATCTGATTGTCTGCTTGACGTTAAAGGGGTGCTTTGTGGTGAGGGTGTTGGCGATCGCACGAATTTTCGTGATCGTATTGGTGTTGACGACGAGCGTTGCTTCAGTAATACAGCTCTCGCCTTCGTCATGTCATACATGGATTGTACAAACGATCGGAATTCCTAAAATACAAAACTGGTCACCCTTCAGCAACATAAGTTACGTGCTACGAACCGTGTAATCGATAAGCCCATCATCAGCTCCTTTAATGAGTCGCATCATCCAGTGCGCATTGTTCAGTGCTGACGGCGAAGTCAACATTCCTAATGTCTCTACCAAATCCTGAAATATGCGATTGTGGTACTCATATTAGTGACTTCGATTAGGGCTCTTGATCATAGTGAGGTGAATGGATGAATGAAGGCGATCATTTAATGATAAACTGATAGCAAACTTCGAATGTTAACGTTTCCTGATTTCTCGAGAATGCAAAGAATATTCGTTTTATGTACGCATCGCTGATTGCTATTGGGAGGTAACCACCGAAAATATTTTTGAATTCTTTTAAGCGCATTTGACCACTCGGACATTCCTGCAGTGTGCATAGCAGTTAGTTTTGTTCATTCGAACAACTCCTTATATTAGTTTGTCTGGACAGGCAGGTTCTGGTTCAGAAACGAAGTCGTTTTGATTTCGTTGCGAAACTTTAAGTTCTGGGTGTGGCGGACGACAGCTGTGAACGGCAGAAAGCGTTAAAGACTCGACAAAGACATTGTCTGAGGAATGAAGTGACATTTTTAAATTTAGCATAAGCGTATTTGATCCACTTATTGCTGAATATACCACAGGTTCGTTTTCGCAACTCTTCGATAGATGGTGGTTGTACGTTCAGTTGAAAACTGCTTATATCTGGTGGTTCTTCGAGACTCGATCCTGAAACGATCACTGACATATTTATCTCTCTTCAGTATTCACCCGTAAAAGATGCAGTTTTTCAACTCGTTTTTGTTGTCAGGAACTGAAATGCTTGTGACTGCATACCTACTCATTTGATGGAGTGATTAGCACCGCAGAACACGGATGAATTAATAACAGATTCTTTAGTGGATGTAAGACAGAATAAGAGAGACTGCGCTCATCCATCGACGTGAACGAATATGAAAGCAATCATCTGAACTGATGAACGACAGGAAAGTATTTATTAGGAATAATAATTTCGTTTAAACACGAATTGACTGGCACTCTTTATCAACATTCATTTCGAGTATTTTGCTGCGAAAAT